TAGTCGGGTTAGTACCAAAATGTTCATTTTATTTAATTAACTTTAAATGAGAGTTCGATTCGTTTGGAGTCTTATTATTGTACTCAGTTTTACTACAATTTATGTAATAGTCAATCACAGCTAAAACTTGCGTTCAACCATCTATAAAATAAATGCTTTATTTATTATTAAAATCTAACTCTGATCTAATTATTATTAACGTCATAATTTTGAAGGGAAAGAACAATACTCCGTTCAATAAAGAAAATCCAACAAAAGAATACTGTTCAGTCAAGTCATATGTTCATTGAATAATACACTTTCTATTCAATCAATAACGTGTAATTTGGAAATGACCTATTTCGCAAAACTTTTTGAACAGCTTTTTTTCATTAAATATTCATGTTTTAATATAGTGCCATCGATATGGGGTCCTGATGCAACAAACGATTATTGGGCTGCGCCCGATACATGCCATGAATATAAAATTAATGCCAATGGATTCATATTACAACCCCGCCGCATTCGTATCAGATAGTTTGATCGTTTATTAGAATTTACCTACGTATTGCTATGCGTGCAATATAAATTGTTTTATTGCCCTAACAATAAGTAAAATTAGATTTTGAAATGACTTCCTAAAAATGCGCGCGTCAATCTAAAATCTTATTGTTGGTAGGTATATTGCGATCAATAATATCAATTCATTTGTTGTGCGATCTACAATTTATCATATTTATGGTGATGCCCATGTCTTTTTTGACAAAATTTATTCGGATCTTTTTATTGCACATCTTTTGAACTTTATTCAAACGTTTGAACGTTATTGAAATTATACCAGTTTTATAGTAAATAATATGTTTTTACATACTCATTTTATTGGCTATGTGCGAAGGCATGGAAGGGGAAGTCAAATCGACCGAAGCGTTCGTTGTGGCTACTTTGAGCATTAATGTAGGCTATTATGACAGAAATTTTAAACAAAAATACATACAATATTTGTTTATTTCAAATTTAAATAAGATAATTAAAAATGAGCCACAAAAGCTGTTGTGTAGTGGGTTGTAGAAATAAGAGCAGAAAAAGTGACTGCAAAATCTATACATTTTCTACAGCTAAGTGGAAAGAAAATCAACGGGAAAAGTGGATCGCAGCGGTTAGAAGAATAAAGTATCATAACCTTATTGTTATAAAAGTACAATTCGGAGTACTATAAATAGTTGTAAAATTGTTATGTTTAGGAAAAAGAAAAATTATAAGTCGATAAATTGTTAAATTATCAAAATTTAATGCTTACTAGAAAAAATTGTTTTGCAAACAATGTAATTAATACAAGGCTAAAATAATGAAAAATATATATTTATATATTGTATATTGATTATGTATAACTATTATCTATATATTAATTACATTTTATTATCTAATAATTGTAATTTTATGATCAAAAGAAAAATAAAAGTTATCACATAGCGCTAAAATGTTTATTTTGCAAACAGTTTAATTAATACAATGCTGAAATAATGCAAAATATATATTCGTAGTGTTGATGGATCACCGCCGTAGGTTTCCATTAGAGGAAAAAAATCGGACGTGGTATTGAGTCCTACCTACTTGCCAACAATATTTCCTTCAATTTACATGCCTCGAAAAGTTAATGTAGTTTTTTTTTCTGCAATTTTATTTAATGGATGATGGAATCAAATCATGTCTTTATTATAATGTCTATTGTAAGTCTGACCAAAAATAATAAAATAACATGAGTAAATTAATTCATTATTTACTTATTCTATTGATAAAATATTTTTATCATTATTATATTGTTTTTATTAAGAACTATTCCGAGATTATGACATAAGCTTTGAGTCACTTAACCTTAAAAATGTTTACTGCATTTCTTTATTTAATTAATCATTATACTTAATTATGTTTTAAGTACGTTGAAGTGAATTTAATAATTTCAATAAACATTCAGCGTTCACATTATTACTGTATCTTGTTTATTATTATCTATAGCAATTATTAACTTCCCGTAGGGCAAGTTATAGTAATCGCAAAAAAATCGAAAATGAAAATTTTTATATATCTTTACGTTTCAGAGGTTTCTGAACATTTTGGCATACCTTAGAAAAAATGGATGTATGTGTGTGTGTGTGTGTGTGTGTGTGTGTATGTGTGTGTGTATGTGTGTGTGTATGTATGTACGTGTGTGTATGTATGTGCGGATACAAATTTTCGTCGACGATTTCGGGAACACGGATCAACCGATTTGAATAATTCAAAAAACATTCGATTCGTATTGATAAGGAGACGTGCTGATTAGTTTTTGGCAAAGGCAGGTCTAGCCGTTCCGAAGATACGGGGCAAAAAGTGCCGAAAACGGTAACTCAGTTTTTAAGAGAACGGAGCGTCCGATTTGAATAATTCAAAAAACGTTTCACTTGTATTGACAAGATGAAGAATCGATAAGATTTTCATAAAGGTAGGTCTAGCGGTTTCGGAGATATGGAGGCAAAAGTAAAAAAATGAGCCATTTGGCGGTCAAAAATGATCATTAGACATATGCACATCAAATTATCAGATATTTTATAGAGATTTTAACAATAACTATGAATTTTGTTTACATTCCTATAAGTTCCGTACCAATGTTTACCCGTTAGACAGCGACGCGGCGCTTACGCGCTTTATATTTTGTCTCTATGCAGTTAAAGCAGTACAATTGCTTTGAAAAAAAGTTCAGATCTTCCACAATATGTGAAAATAAAGAAAAATTTTTTTTTCAAAAAAAAAACAAAAAAAAAAATTTAAAAAAAATTTTTTTTTAAGAAATTTTTTTTCAAAAAAAAGTAATTTTTTGTCCAATTTATAGTTTCTCAAAAATCTTATTTTTTCAAAGTAATTTTTTTTTTCAAAAATGTTAATCGTTTTTAAAAAAAAAAAAATTTTTGGTACGGGAAGTTCCAGCAATTTGCCTTAAGGCACGATGCCTTAATTGCCTTAAGACAGAATTCCACTTACAGCTAGTTTAATATCTTTTTTCTTTTACAAACATATAAAACCCATGAAAACCACACACTGATAGCCGCAATTAGTTCATATTTATTACGGCGCTGCATGGGCGCTGCAGTCACGCTCTGAGCGAATACCTTACGGCAGATGTTGATGAACCGGGATAAGTTACAAAGTATATATTTTTAATTGATATTTACTGTCTTTGCTAAGGAGTTGCTTGGGTAGGGGTAATCTCTCTTAGCCATGAGGTGATATTAACTTAGACAAAAATATTTTGGTGTAATGATAAAAAAAAAATCCCGACCGCTTTGAGGCCTATGAGCTGTTGGCCTGATACTTCTCCATACTTCGTAGTTTTAGATGGTAACCCAAAGATTGATCCATTCATATTTGATTATTTTATTATTAGAATTCATCTAATAGGGTTGATATATTATTCAATCTGATGCAGCTTTTTTAACTTGGAAACATATTTAAGAAAATAAGATATGGTGCGCAAAACTATGAGGATTCAAAACAAATACATTTTTCTACTTCATTTCTGTATGTCAAAATATTTTCTTCAAAAATTTACGCAATGCTATCTATCAGCCAGTTTAACCCCTGATGAGTTTAGATGTAATCACTAAAGACATTGCAACCTAAATTTGGATAAAATTATCCCATATAAATTAATGTTAAATGAACACGTTAAGAATTCATATTTAATTTCATCTTCACATAACATGACTATTTGATCATTTTTACATACCACTGTAAGAAAAAAAAAGGATTTATGCATATTCCTAACACATATGTATAAATGTATAAATGAAGGTTACAGTTTTCTTGACATATTAATGCTAATTATGTTTACAATCTACATTTAACAATGATATTTTTTATGTTCAGTACCTTGATGATTCTGAAATAAAATTTAACTCGATGCATAACTTTAAATATTTTATATATATTTTTAACTTCAACAAATAAAAATATTTACAAAAAAGATATGACTATGTTGAGTGTAACTTTGCTATAATGTCATACCCCAAAAAATGATATATACTTCGATTGTTTTTAAACTGATATTTTTCCCCTTTTCACAATATCCTGTGTTGATATCAACACATCGATCAAACTGGTCTTAATATTCGTTCTGCCATCATCGATACCAAAATCGTTTATTTGCCAAGCACAGAGCTTCTGAAATAACATGTATTTCTATGATATGATTTTTTTTTATATAATACTCATTATATAATCTAATTTTGATTTATCTTTTTATTCACAATTACAATTATTAGAATTATGATGAAACTATTTCTTATGTGGAAAATATTTGACGTTTAGTTATTTAGAGTCGAGAAAGTATGATACTACCCAGCGCACGAATATCTCCACTATTATAAAATAATATATTTTATACGTGGAATATCTGGCGACGCATACTTTCCGTTTAGTAGTCTTCTCATATTTTTAAAATTCCAAATAATAATAGGTATATAATAATGGCATTTGGAATATATTAATGCATAAAATCACAGCATTGAGAAATAAATATTAATAATGTCTATGGCCTTACAAATAAAATCACCAAAATTTAAGATGTACTTTTTATCATCCATATTTATTAGCTATTTGCTTCTTACTCATCCGATTTGAGTTAAATTTTTTAATAATTTGTTTTTTAACTTTTTTTCTAGTCTTACTAATTATAGGTTAGAATTAGAATTTCATTGTGCGCAAAGTATTGTATGTGAATTGTATTTCATTTTTGGTATATTGTTCAAAATGCTCAAATTGAAAATTTATTATGATTTTGCTACATTTTTTCTATTTGTTTTTTCAATTATAATTTTTTCTGATATATTTTATGTGAGGATCATAATTTTCTGAATTGATTTACCCTATTATATTTGAAATGTAATTTCCATTGACTTGTTAGATAAATTTATTATTATTATTGTTATTAGATATTATATTTTAGATAAATCCTGTTTCTTATTTTTATTACAGAGTGCTGCGTAGATCAAGTTAAAGAATAAATGAAGTTCATGATTACTTAAAAGTTAAACCAAAAACCAGTTATTTATATTTATTTTTTATAATTTTTATTTTTTATTATTACTGTTGTATAATAAACTTATAATTTTCATAATAAATGTGATATTATTATTTTTTAACGTAAATTTTATTGTGTTATCTAATTATGTTGGACGAAACTGACAAATTGGATGATATGGCGGGTCATTCAAATAACAACATGCCAGCTGATGTTAATTTTATACCTAAAATTATCGATCGAGTACCTCCAATAGACGATGATTCCTTGAAAGGTATCACTAATGAGAAAGGACGAAAACTTTTCGTCGATAAATTGGGGGCACCCCGATTAGTGGTCGCACCTATGGTAGATGCGAGCGAATTAGCCTGGAGGGAGTTGGCTCGACGAAGGGGTGCCAATCTGTGCTATACGCCTATGCTTCATAGTGGAGTATTTAGAAGGGACCAGAAATACAGACAGGAAGGTTTGCAGAGTTGTGCCACCGATCGACCACTCATTGTGCAAGTATGTATTGGTTTTATCTGCTATATCATTATTGTTATCTACTCTAAATTCTTTTATTAGTTCATGACAACTATATACATGATATATTCATATTTCATTACTGATATATTGAAGTAAAGTAAAACATCTACATCTTCAGAAATTTTTGATTTTAATCAGTTACATTCTCTTTTTCTTAACGTTCAACATTTGTACATTAGTGTTTCAGAAATATATATATATATATATATTAGGGTGGCCCTTAAAATGGTCATTTTCCGATTTCCTTGCTCCCAGGAGCTCAAATGGTTCCAAATAGATAAAAAAACAATTTTCTGGAAGTTTTAGCTCTTAATATTAACGTTTAGATAGAGCGCAATTCAATCAAAGTTTTGTATGGAAATAGCATGAAAAAAATTTCAAAAATTAAAAAAAAAAATTTAGATGTAATTTAGCGAACAAATGAATGAATAAAGCTCATTCATTTGTCGCTAAGTTATACCTAAAAAATTTTTTTTAATTTTAAAAATTTTTTCCATGCTATTTTCATACGAAGTTTGATTGAATTGCGCACTATCTAAGAGTTAATATTAAGAACTAAAACTGTCAGAAAATTATTTTTTATCAATTTGGAACCATTTGAGCCCTTGGGAGCAGGGAAATTCGAAAATGTCTATATTAAGGACCACCCTAATATGTATATATATGTATATATATATATATATATATATGTATATATATATATATATATATATATATAGACGGTGCATACAAATAAAAAACGATATACATTGCATTACAGCACATAACACATATCAAACAACCATCTGTCGAAATGTGTTCAGAAAATTTCCCAGTCATTGCTTTAATACAGAAATATATTTATTTGCCATTTTTTCTAAAAAAAAATTGTCTGTCCCCGTTTATATCACAGAAGGCAAACACACCCAATGTCTAATTTTTAATTATAAGTGATTTTTCGAGCTAAAAGCTGCATTATTCACACGATGCCAAATACAAATTTCAATGGTAAAGATAATACTTAAATATTCATCAGCAAGGTTGGAATAACTATTAATTCAATTTATCTCTTGTAAAATTTTTTTTTTAACTTAACATACTTTTTTATTTAGTATTATCTTTGCTAGAGTATAAGTTCAATTGGTCCCTTTTACCCCAACCACCTGTAATTTTTATAGAGGTTATATAAAAAATCTTTTGCATCTAAGATAGAAATATCAATGCATATTATAAAACAATTAAATAACGTAATTTAAGGTAGACCTTTTTATCCGCTAACCTTTGAACCTTGTTCTACCCTATATTTACATTAATTTTTATATTAATATTTACTTTTTAATTCCGCAGTATTTTCATATGTTTTCAAAAAATTCAAAAATTTTAAAAGTGATCATCTCGTAATATGAATAAAAAATAAAACCCGTAATAAAAAAATACTCTTTTTTATTAACGTTGAAAAATTTGAATCGAAATTCAGTGAAGAACGTTCACAAAAAGACAATAATTGAGTAGTTATCGATCATGTTAAAAATGATTAATGAAATAAATTAATAAATTTTCAAATGTAAATTTGAAACTTTTGGTTAATGTATATATTTATTATACTTATATCGAATGTATTTGCAATTGCTACTATGGTAATAAATCTCATTGTAATTATTGGTCTCAATGGCATGAAGCACTTTGTATTGAATGATATTATGTTACGTAAACTTTGGAATATAATTATTTCGAGCAGTAAACTTGTAACTTAATACAATGTATGGGGCAATTTAATAATTCAAATATTGGTTGCCAAATCTATGCTAATCTGTTTATAATTATATTCTTGGTATAGTTTTGTGGTAACGATCCAAATATTATGCTCGAAGCCGCCCTATTCGCCCAAGACCACTGCGACGCAATCGACATAAATCTGGGCTGCCCACAAGCCATTGCGAAGAGGGGAAAGTACGGTAGCTATCTCCAAGATGACTGGCCACTTCTTCAAAATATGGGTTCGTATGTATACACATGTTTGTAACCATGCACCCACATGTTGCGTCATTGATGATATATTTTTGAACTAGCTGTAAGTGGAATTCTGTCTTAAGGCAATTAAGGCATCGTGCCTTAAGGCAAATTGCTGGAACTTCCCGTACCAAATATTATTATTTTTTTAAAAACGATTAACATTTTTGAAAAAAAAATTCTTCGAAAAAATAAGATTTTTGACAATTAGACAAAAAATTACTTTTTTTTGAAAAAAAAAATTTTTTTTAATTTTTTTTTTTTTTGAAAAAAAATGTTTTCTTTATTTTGATATATTTTGAAAGATCTAAACTTTTTTTCAAAGCAATCGTACTGCTTTAACTGCATAAAGACGAAATATCAAATCGCGTAAGCGCCGCGTCGACGTCTAACGCGTAAACATTGGTACGGAACTCATAGGACTGTAAACCAAATTCATACTTTATTGTTAAAATCTCTATAAAATATCTGATAATTGGATGTGCATATGTCTAATGATCATTTTTGACCGCCAAATGGCATTATTTTTTACTTTTTTCATTAGATCTCCGAAACCGCTAGACCTGCCTTTATGAAAAGTTGATCGGTTCTTTACCTTGTCAATACAAGTAAAATGTTTTTTGAATTATTAAAATCGGACGCTCTGTTCTCTTAAAAATTGAGTTACCGTTTTCGGCGCTTTTTGCCCCGTATCTTCGGAACGGCTAGACCTGCCTTCGCCAAAAACTAATCAGCACGTCTCCTTATCAACACGAATCGAATGTTTTTTGAATTATTCAAATCGGTTGATCGGTGTTCCCGAAATCGTCGACGAAAATTTGTATCCGCACATACATACATACACACTCACACACACGCACACACACACGCACACACACATACATCCATTTTTTCTAAGGTATGCCAAAATATTCAGAAACCTTTGAAACGTCGAGAAATGCAAAAATTTTCATTTTTGATTTTTTTGCGATTACTATAACTTGCCCTACGGGAAGTTAAAAATATATATCATTTAATACATATAATACACCTATCCCTTTATTGTAATGAAATTTTAAATTATTTGTGCTTAAGAATTTATCAATCCGTGCTCCTCATTTTTTTAACAATTTTTTTTTAAATTGAAAATATAATGAGCATTTTGAATATTTTGATTTTGATAAAACTTTGAAATTTTGAACATTATTATTTTCTATGTCAAAACCATGACATTAATTTATAGTTATGTAATCCGGCACAAGGAGAGCGGGGTCTAAAGGAATTAATATTACTTCTTTTATCCATTATGGTATATTATATATTACATTTTTTGATCTATGTTTTTTCGCTTTAAAGCCTTGTTTAAAATTCTGTTCAATTTTCTTCATAATTCAACTTTTTTTATTTTTATTTTTATTGGCTTCTAAATTACAACTAGCCACTTACAGTCTAATATAAATCATTACTACTCTAAATAAAATAAAATGTATACTTATAAACTTTTCTACACATAATTCTATAACTTAATTTTACACTCCGATATAAAATTAATTAAATACTTATATATTTCTTTATTATATTATATTATGTCTTTTATATAATGTCACTAAATTAAATGGTTTGCTAATATTTTTGTTTCTATAGATCTCATTCATTAAATTCACTCGTTAATTCAACTTATTTATAGTTAGTAAAACTAGCACTTACGCCAGACAGCTAAAAAGTTCGTTTTCATAATTTTTGCTAATTTTCGTAAAATTGAAAATGAATTATTAAAATTATTAATATGGAAGACTATTTTCTTTCGACTCGTCCTTGAATCTTTGCATTTGGCAATTCTTATTCATTACGTAAAGTAAAAGTTCTTTAACCCTTTCGATACGAGCTTCGCCTTTTGGACGACATTCACATGACTACTTGTAGGCCCGAGTTTTGTCTGTAGACTATCTGTATGTGCAGATATTGCCAGACAGTAGGGAATGTAATACCGATAAAAAATTTCAATATCGGTAGTTTTTAACCTCCCGTAGGGTAAGTTATTGTAATGGGCCGAAAATCGAAATTGAAAATTTTTACATTTCTCGACGTTTTGAAGGTTTCTGAACATTTTGGCACACCTCAGAAAAAATGGATGTGTGTGTGTGTATGTATGTATGGATACAAATTTCCAGTCACGTTTTCGTGCGCACAGATCAACCGATTTGAATGGTTCAAAAAACATTCGATTCCTATTGATAAGGACATGAGCGGATTAGTTTTTGGCAAAGGCAGGCCCAGCAGTTACGGAGATAAAGAGCAAAGAGTGCAGAAAATAGAAATCGAGTTTTTGAGAGAACGGAGCATCCGATTTGAATGATCTAAAAAACATTCAATTAGTAATGATTGGGAGAATTGTTTATTAGTTTTTGGCAAAGGCAGGCCCAGCCATTTCGAAGATACGGAGCTAAATGTGTAAAAAATGGCAGTTTTTGAGAGAACTAAGTGTTCGATTTAAATGATTCAAAGAACTTTCTGCTTGTCTTAACAAAATAATTGATTTTGGAAAAAAAATTTGTTTCAACTTTTTTTTTTCAAAAAAAAATTTTTTGTATATCGAAAATAATTCAAATCTTATTTTTAATTCTGACTATAGTTCTAATATACTTTAAACAAATAATTTCAACTTTGCAATTCAGTTTATATAATTCTTATATTAGACAATGTTACAATATTAATAATAATCTATTTGAAAACATTTAGTATTCCTCGAACATTCCGTTACGGTACGGGAAGTTCCAGCAATTTGCCTTAAGGCACGATGCCATACACCCCACTAGTATTTTTAAAGCGGAATACCGGTAAAATGCCGATATTTTGATAATTTGTTTATCCTGTCGCTTAAAGATATGTCTGTTTATGCCATTATGGAGTTTAAAGATAAATTTGTTCCGAGAAATTTAAACTTGAGTGTAATATGTATAATACCGGTATTTTTAGGGTAAATACCGGTATTTACACCGCCGAAAAATCGGGCGGTATACTGGTATTTTGGTATACCGATATTGCATTCCCTACCGTACAAGTGATTGTATTTTTAAATACATTTTTATCGATAATAAATAAAAAATCTTAAGATATGTTGTCTTATATAGTCCGTTCAGTAGCTTTGCCAAGCTGCTCGCTGTTCCGTACTGCAGCGAAAGGGTTGATATATATGATTATACAAGTAGAATTTTGACACTAATACTGGGCTGTGGCTTAATTAAAAATTTCACATTAACAGTAAATGATGTTTATCTTAATAATGTTTGTTTTGACAGTGTCACTTCTTTCATCTCGCCTATCTGTGCCTGTTACCTGCAAGATTCGTGTATTCGAGAGCATAGAGCATACCGTGCGTTATGCGCGCATGCTGGAGGAGGCCGGTTGCAGTATGCTAACCGTCCATGGTAGGACAAGGGAGCAAAAGGGACCCATGACTGGGCTGGCTAGTTGGGATCACATAAGGGCCGTCAGGTATTATTAAGCGAATAAAATAAATTGAAGATTGATACTGATCCATCCAATCGTGTTAATCACCTAATCAACAGCGAAATGTATACTCTGCATGTGGCTTTATTATAGTCCAAATAATACCAAAATATATTTGATTGCAGTATTTAATTTAGGCTTCACATATTTATATCTGATACCATTGTTTGTATCCTTTTCAGACAAAATGTAAACATTCCAGTATTAGCTAATGGTAACATTCAGTATCTACATGATGCAATAAAATGTTTAGAATATACAGGAGCACATGGTGTAATGGCTGCTGAAGGACATCTTTATAATCCTGCAATATTTCAAGGTAAATCCGTTCCTGTATGGGAAATTGCAGAAGAATACCTAGAGCTTGTTAAATTATACCCTGCACCATCATCTTACATTAGGGGTCATCTATTCAAGCTGTTCCAACATATGTAAGTTTTTATATAGTGATATATTAGCATATTAATTGTAACGCAATAATTTAATTGAAATGAATGGCTCTACCCTCCAAATGCGTTTCTGCACTTTTAATAAACAGTATATCATGTATAGGGATTAAAATCAATAAGTGTAATATAATATAAAATATATTTTTACAGAATGATATTACCTGAAAATGCTGAGCAAAGATCCCAACTTGCTGTTGCGCAGAATGTAGGGGAATATTCAAGAATAGTATCTGAAATTAGAATGAGATACATGCCATATTACACAGGAGAGAAATACTGGAACCTCTCTGCCGAACCTACTTACAATTTAGTTTTTCCGCCATGGATGTGTCAGCCTTATGTACGGCCACCACCAGAAGAACATTTAAAGAAAGTTGAAGAAAATCAAAACAAAAGCGCAGATGTATATATTTTTTATTATATTATATTATATAAACTTTTGTTTAATATTTAGTAACAATTGTATTTGTGATTGAATTTATTTAGCTGCTACCCAAAAGAAATTATGAGGATGCAGATGGAAATATGATAAGTCGAAAGAGAATGAAAAAATTAAGAAGGATTCAAAGACGACCAATAAGAGATCCTTCTGAATATGTTAAAAGAACTGGAGAATATTGCTTGTGTTGCCCAAATCCTATTGTAAGTATTTGATTTTCTGTATTTAATTAACTTATTAGGATTTAAATTTAATATTAAATTCAGGGGGACAAATGCACATATACCTTATGTAAAAAGTGCTGCAAAGAAAAATGTTACCATGAAAATCTGGACTGTGCTGGACATAGAATTCTTGTCAAAACTAGAAGAGAGATTGCTATAAAACACGCAGCTCAGAGAGAAAATGGTTTGAATGAAGCTATAGTAGAAAATGATGAAAATAGACGATTAGATACTTGTAATAATAGCACACAATACATGAATTTTACATGACATTTTATACCGACATGAACAAGTTATTCAATTATGTAAATAATTAATTTTATATTATATATAAATATATTTAATAAAAATATAATATTTTCAATGAATTTATTATTTGGACCTGTATGTTTCTAAGTGAAAATAGTTCTTTCAGACGAAAAAGTTTGATCACAAACAGAAAGAGAACAATCATCGAGATTTCCTTATAATCTAAAAATATATATTAAAAACTATGGCTATTTGGCCAATAGCCATTTGTAAATAATTGTTATTTACAACAGCTTATAGAATGTACAATATAGTTTGCTTTTTTTTAAAAAAAAACAGTAGTTTGATTACGCATAATTCTTAATGTTAAGTGTTTAACATTAAAACCTTTTGCATATTTTTTTTGTCTGTCATTTTTTTAATGACTTACATTAAATATCATGAAAATTATATTTTTTTGATATTATGTTGGTTTTAGCTCTGAAATCAGTAATCATTTGTTTTTTTCTTTAGTAGTTGTGTGGTAATATCTATAATATAATAATAATTTTACAAAATATATAAACTTAGCTTACTTCAAATTAAGATTTCAGCTACGTTAAATTAATAGGATACAACACCAGCTTTGTTTTGTCAGATATATGTTTATAATAATTTATTTTGAATACCTAGTTGCTTTGTATGAATAAGAATTCTTGTTTTCATTAATATTTATATATATATATATATATATATATATATATATATATATAAATTATAATTATAATATGGAAATGGCTGAACCTGTTTTTGCCAAAAACTAACCTCTTCTCCCAATCATAACAAATTCAATGTTTTTTAAATAATTCAAATCCGATACTCCGTTCTCTCAAAAACTCGATTTGTATTTTCTGCACTCTTTGCTCCGTATCTCCGTAATGGCTGGACCTGACTTTGCCAAAAACTAATCAGCACATCTCCCTTTCAATAGGAATCGAATGTTTTTTGAACCATTCAAATCGGTTGATCCGTGCGCCTGAAAACGTGGACGAAAAAATGTGGACATACAAAACATACACACACACACATCCATTTTTTCTGACGTATGCCAAAATGTTCAGAAACCTTCAAAACGTTGAGAAATGTAAAAATTTTAATTTTTGATTTTTGGCCCATTACTATGGCCCATAACTAAATATCTATCGCATAATTGGGCTCTTTGGCTAAACTTTTATGTTTAGAAATTTTATCTGAAAAGAAAAGAAATACAAAAACAATAAAATAATACAATAAAATAGCAAAATTTTTAAAATCAAATTATCAGTTTAATTAATTGGTAAATTATGTCATTAATATATTATTAATATTCCTACATCAAATATTTTGTGTTCTATAAAAAAACAGGACAATATTTATATAAAACATTATTTCCAACGTTCCAACTATATAATAAAAAGAAAAGTTTTCATTTATTTGGTTTTGAAAACCTAATTGTTTTCAAAATGCAATAAACAAAATAATAATAAAAATATAAATATAAAATTTTTATTTTAATACGCATTATTTGTAATTCAAATTTATTTTTTTTGTTCTTATTTACGCGCAGCACTGCGATGTTGTTAGGCATGATTTTCATCTGCTCGACCAATCAACGACGTTGTATTCTAATAACGAATTTCAATTTGTGTAATTGTTGTTTAAAACGGCCGACTCCATTTTGGTTTTTGCGCTGTGAATTTTTTATATGTTACCAGTAATTTTTAATTCGATATTTAAGTCAAATAATTACTTCTTTAATACATTGGATTGATATCAATACAAAGAAGAACATACTAAAGGTGGGTATATCATAAAATAAGAGATAGTCTAACTTAATTTTTGAATGGAACGACTTTTATCACAACTCATAATGTGTGGTCTTAAAATCAATTACAGTAATAAGCGATGTATTCAAATTTATTGTTTATTACCGTTTCTGTTTCGATTCTCAAGAATAAACGATAATATTAGCTTATTTTATCTAAAAAACGCCTGATTAGCGACCGATCGAATGATAATGTTCGTTGTTCTCTTAAATGTTTGAATGTTTTAATTTTCAGTATATTAGAAAAAATTGAGGGAGTTACTCTACATTTAGAACAAAATCTTCTTTATAGTTCGGTGTAGTTATAATCACGTATAAATTTTTATATTATATTGTGATAGATTCAAGGCATATTTGCTAATAATAAATACAATATAATACTATGTCATTAAACAATTATAATTTATTCTATTGTATTGCGGAAATAAAAATGATTCGAGCGTTTATTGAAACGCATAAAAAACTAGATTTCATTTTTCATCTGAATCTGGATGGTCTAATTGGGCATTATTATCAGGGTCTGATCTGATTGTACATAACCAAGCTTCCATGCGCTCCGCTTACCCGGCAACAGTAATTGTCGTGTCATTTATCAGACATTCATCGCCATCTTATTGCAAAAATAATAACTTGCACGTGTAAATTCACGTTCTTTATAATTAATATGACCATTGGCCCATACTTCTCATTTAGCAAATACATTGTTGGTGTATGTTGTTGTTAGACATAAATGTAAATTCCAATGTGAACGTTTTTAAGTAATTGTATATAGTTTTTACATATTTATTCCAAAATGGATATGCGTGATATATTTGTGAAATTAGTGAAGGGCGCTAAGTTCACTAAAAAAAGAACCAATTCTAATTCACATGTAATATAGGCTAACCTAGCAAATGAATTTTGAATATAATGTATGATGTTTAATGTAGCACTAATAAAATGTATGTTATAGATGTCTCGAACTCAGGTCACAAAAGTTGAACCTAAGACGGCAGTAAAGTCAGAACCGGTAGAAAGTGCCGAAAGGCCGGATTCAACAAATTGCATAGATGAAGAAAATAGTGACAGGACCATTTCTTTATTGGGTTCTATTTCAGCAACTGAAAACGGTAATATCATGAGACGTAAAAGGAAAAGGAAGGTAATAACCGAAGAACTGCAGGACAAATTGAAGCAAGAAGAGGTATGATCTACTGTCATTGTTATTCATTTTTATTCTTTATGTTTTTATTTACTTTGATTTATTGCAGATTAATCATTACAGAAATTTAAATCTTATAAGTGTGGTTGGAAGAAATGTTCCAGCTCCCATTAAGTGTTTTGAAGAATTGAAATCAACGTATAATGTTGACTCATTGCTTATGCAAAATTTGCAAAGCTGTGGATATGATGATCCGACAGCTGTACAAAAGCAAGCAATGACGGCTATGCTTGAGGTTTCTATGACATATTAATCTTTGTTAATAACAGTTTTTTCAACAGTGTTGTTATGTTCTATTATAGAAACGACAAATTCTGTGTTGTGCTCCTACAGGGTCCGGAAAAACTATGGCCTTTATGTTGCCTCTTCTAAATCATTTAGGAAGAGCTGAAAAACGGGGTTTTAGGTAATGTTTGCTTCTTTGCAGAATTTATAAATATAGATATATATACATATATATATATATATATATATATATATATATATATATATATATATATATATATTATATATATATATATATATATAAATTTAATTAATTTTGTTATTTAATCTTTTTTTTAATTCGACGGTTGGGCTGCAAAAAAAAATTTTACAAATATGTATCAACGTCGACAAAACTTTCATCATATATATATATATATATATATATATATATATATATATATATATATTGAATGGTAGAATCTTGGATTTGTGTATATTTTGTAGAGATTCGAACAAGAATCCAAAAATAATAAAAAACAAGAAAAGTTTTTAATAAACAATTTCTTTATTTATTTATTGATTTACTGTCAACGTTTCGGAACTTCATCTTCAGGACATCTGTCAAGAAACATGATCTTGATGAGATTTAACATATTGTTTGCTTAAATCTCATCAAGATCATGTTTCTTGACAGATGTCTTGAAGATGGAACGTACCTAGTTCCGAAACGTTGACAGTAAATCAATCAATAAATAAAGAAATTGTTTATTAAAAACTTTTCTTGTTTTTTATTACTTTTGGATTCTTGTTCGAAACTCTACAAAATATTTATATATATATATATATATATATATATATATATATATATGTTTCTTTTCCGGACAATAAATCCAATAAATAAAACAATTTGTTTTTTGTAGATGTTTAATTAAACATGTTGAAAAAAATCAGGACTTTTCTATTATATATATATATATATATATATATATATATATATATAGTATATAGATATATATATATATATATATATATATATATGATTTAGTAGTTAGTTTTGATGTTGAAATATGTGAGTGAGTTCTTGAGGGCGATACATCAAACAAAGAAAAGCCAAAGATTTATAAAATAATCTTTATTTCCAAACGTTTCGACATTCAATTTAATGTCATCATCAGTGGATCTAAAAACAGTATGAAAATTAGTATATCTAGGTAATTATAATATATGTGGATTGGTAAAGTAACTATACAATAAGAGGAAAATTAACAAACAGCAACACTTAACAACAAACCAAATATAAAAGATAGGAAAGGTAGTAGAGACTAGAATTAAATAAATAATTAAAAAATATAGGCAAAAATATCTAAGTACACTCATATAAACCTACGCATATATACATATATATATACATACACATATACACAAATATACATATACATATACACATATATATATATATATATATATATATACATGCATATATACATATACACACACATGATATACAGATACAACAATATATACCTATATATGTACACATATACATGCACGACCATACAAATATAAATATACGCATATACATATATGCAACGTGCATGTATATTCACAACGACGTACATGTGCATGTATGCACATATATATATACTGCACAGGACTGACATGATCCGAGCCATATTCAAACATCCATTCAAACATTCATACAATATATTTCGCAAAAAATATATATATATTTTATGTAGAGCTTTGACCAAAGAATCGAATTGTAATACAAACCCAAAAAGTATTGTGAGAAATTTTTATTTATTAACGTTTTTGAACTAAGTACGTTTGTGACATCTGACACGAAACATAATCTTGATTATATATAAACTAATAACATACTTAAGGAAAAATAAAAATTAGTGCATTTTTATAAATTAATGAAATTATGTAAAAAATCATAAAAATGAATATAATAAATGAATGGATAATGTAAGAAATATTAAAATGATTGCCAAAAGTTTTTCAAAAAGTGAAATTAAGAAAAAACAATTATTTATCTGAATGATTGATCTACACTAACTCTTTATATGTCACTAAAAACACTCGATTTTTTTGAAAAATATTTGTAAATGTTATGACTACACAAGACTTAAACTCACTGATATGGAGTTCTGTCGACCAGATGCAAAGGACAACGTACGGAATTCCTGGCAAAAATGATTTTTTATGGCTCTTGTATTGGTAATCTGGTCCTTTGCATCTGGTCGACAGAACTCCATATCAGTGAGTTTAAGTCTTGTGTAGTCGTAACATCTACAAATATTTTTCAAAAAAATCGAGTGTTTTTAACAAAAAAATATTAGTGATATGGATATATAAATTATTACAGGTAAATAATTTTTGCTTCTCAATTTTATATAAAACCTTTTTTAGTTAGTTCTTATTACTCTTTACCCCGGTACATAATCCATTCCTTTATAAAAAAATTTTCTAATTAATCTGTATTGACCATCATTAATTAATGTTAATCAATATTTTTAAAAAACATTGTATTTGACAGAATAAACCTGATGATGGAACGTACCTAGTTCCGAAACGTCGTATTAAACATCTTCAAAAAACAAATTATTTTTTATTATTCGATTTACTGTTCGGAAAAGAAACAATCAATATATATATATATATATATATATATATATATATATTTATATATAATTTAAATTAAATTTTATTGTATAATTTAAAGAAAATTAAAAAAATTATGGGTAACTTGTAATAAATTTAATTGAATTTAATTGTTATTGTTTTGTTTTAATCATTTACAATTCAAAATTAATATTATTTAAGCTGATATACATGCATTTATGGATGCAATTATATAATGTGCCTATTCTTGATCTACTTTTTTAGTATGTATTTCAATTTTATGTTTTTGTGTATGAAGTAACAAATGTCAAAAGCTTGAAGCAATTATGACAACTGCTTCATTATGTGAAGGGATCATAATTATATTGTTCCTTCAGTTCACTAAGATTTAATAACAGCATGTAACATTACACTTAAAAGTCAGTTTATGATGACTTCTGTCTTTCTACAGGGCTGTGATTCTTTGTCCAACCCGAGAGTTAGCAAAACAAATATTAAGAGAATGTTTACGTCTCAGTGATGGTACTTCTCTTAAACCTCATTTTATTTACAAAGCCCAGCAGGAAGCAAAAAGATACAGTGCTAAAACATTCATGAAGTTTGGTATGTTTTATTTTTAATTATTGAAAACAAGTTCTTTCTTTGCTTTGTGTACATAGAATTGAATTCATACATTTTAATTTACGAAATTAAATGGTTTGACATTACAGATCTATTGATTACAACACCTAAAAGACTTTGTTTCATGTTGAACCAAGATCCGGTCTTAATTTCCTTGGAAAAGTAAGTATGCTTTATTTCATTTTTATTTAACCATTAAGGTTAATTTTTTATTGAGATATATGTATTGATATCAATATGAATTTTATAGTAGTAAATAAATTTTTTTTTTTATAAAATTGAGAAAACTATAATTGCTTTTGCATCCCGATTGCAGCAAGATAATTAGAATATATATTTATATGTGTATATGTATATATATATAGTGATGTGCTGACTTCGTAATTTGAATCATGGGTCAATTATTTATTTTACTATATATTCAGTTTTATATTTATGTTGTTTATTATTATTATTTTTTTATAGTATCGTAATATTGATTAAATTCAAATATTTTTTTATATTTATAAAAATTTGTGTTTATACATATTTTATCACAGTAAATATTTTGTGGCTTGATACGAACTGCATCAAGTAAAATCTGATTCGACTTGGCACATCATTTATATATATATATATATATATATATATATATATATATATATTTATGTCAGTGTTGATGAAATACTCACATAATCAGATTCTATTTTTTTAATTTTGTGTTTGAATGTACAATCCTCTAGGAAAAGAGAAAAATGTACAATTTATTTTTTAATCACATTAACATTTAATATTTAATTCATTTCGCAGTGTTGAGTGGTTAGTAATCGATGAAGCGGATAAGTTATTTGAGACTGGTATTCGAAGTTTCCGAGACCAATTAGATAAGATTCTCTTAGCATGTTCTAATAAAAATAGAAAAATAGCCCTGTTTAGTGCCACTCAAACTCCAGCTATTTCCAAATGGGCCAGGCACAATATGAAAGGTCTCATTAATATCACAATCGGACAAAGGTTTGTAAAATGCAGTATAACAACAAAATCCAAGTTGCAAAACTAGGGCAAAAACAAATATCATATATATTACACTTAAATGAGTGTTACAGTTGTTGTTAGCTTTTAGTGCTAGAATTGCAATTTTTAATATCTTGCTATAAACTCTCATTTTTAATGTAACGGTATTTCTATTGAAATTTTAACATAATATAATTAATTTTTATTAAATTTGATGGCTAATTAGAATCATTTTTATTTTTAGAAATTCAGCTGCTGATACAGTTGACCAAGAGCTACTTTTTGTAGGTGATGAGAGTGGAAAATTATTAGCAGTTCGAGATTTGATAAGAAAAGGCATCAAGCCACCAGTATTGGTATTTGTACAAAGTAAAGAACGTGCTCAGGAGCTTTTTACTGAACTTATCTATGACGGGATAAATGTAGATGTTATCCATGCTGACAGGACGGAGACACAAGTAAGATATTTGCTTTTAGATATGAATTATTCTTTATGAAATGTATATCAATCTTTCTGTTAATTTTAATACTATAGGTGTATATTATTTTACAACAAATTTTATGAAATGCTTTATTATATCTAACAATAAGTAATTCATTGGTTAACCATCCATCAATTAAATTATAATTGAGTTTTAAAGCATATAGCAGTTTAAAATATTTGTGTATTGAGATTATCATTAAGAAAAATTAAACATATTTATATTCAACAATTTTTCATACTCAATTGCATTTTTAATTGAATTTTTTTTTAATGAAAACGAAAATTTTATTTTAAAATTAAACAGCCATTTTACAAAAATAAATGGCTGAATAACAATTCCTATTGATAAATTTGATTATGCATATGTACCTACTTGCTTTAATGCATAAAATGCGTAAAATTTTAGAATCTTTTTCGAAAAATGTTGGATTTTTTTTGAATTGAGCAAAAAAAAATAAATGCATGTGATATCTTAATTGACCCTCTCCTCCCTTAGTGATATTTCGTAATTTTTTGACAACCCCTCCTCGGTCTTTAAGACTCCCTTACTAGCCTCATTTTCGGAAAAGAAAAATTCGATATAATTGCTTGCAAAAGATAGATTTACAAATTACAATTTTATTGATAAATGCACGCTTTTGGATCATACTTCTGTCTCAAGTATTTGTGAAGTTTGGGTTAAATGTTAGAGGCGTATTTTAAAACTTAATATTCATGTTTATGGGGGCATAAAGTTTAGAAAAAAAAGTGGGTTATCCCTAAAATTGAACTAATATTGTTTTAATTTTAAATGATGTTAAACATATACCATTGAATCTAAAGGAAAAATTGTATGCATCAGGTAAGAACACTACTTTCAACAAAGAAAACTTTGTTGTAGTAAAAAGGTTCTAAAATCAAAAATAAAATAGTACGATCATAGAATTATCATTAAAATAGTATTTCAATCTCAATGTTATTTTTAAAGAATTGTAGTAAACTTTTTACTTTTTAGAGAGATAACACAGTGCGTGCATTTAGGGAAGGTCGTGTATGGGTCCTGATATGTACCGAATTGATGGGTCGAGGAGTAGATTTTAGTGGGGTCAATTTGGTACTGAATTATGATTTTCCTACTTCGGCCATCTCTTATATTCATCGTATTGGTCGTACAGGCAGAGCTGGTCAGAGAGGAAAAGCTATTACATTTTATACTCAAAATGATGTTGTTAACTTAAGAAGGTTTGTACATGTCTGTGGTGTTATTTTAATTAATGTTATTAACAACAATGTTCAACAATGATTTTATATAAAATCATTACACTCAAATCATTTATAAGCAAAATTTCAAATAAAAAAGTTACAACAATTATAGGTCAATATGATAAGTGATTTACAAAATATGTTTTAAAAGATTTTTTAAAAAATAAGCTTATAATACCTTCATTACAATATTTAATATGTAACAAATTACCAGTAGTAACATGTAAATCTTTTTTCATAATAGTGTTGATTTCTCATTTTAGCATAGCACGAGTTTTACAATCATCAGGTTGCAAAGTTCCAGAGTATATGTTAACACTTAAAAAGACTTCAAAGAAAAATAAAAAATTGTTAAAAACATCTGCACCAAAGAGAGACGGAATTCTTACCATTCCAAATTATGAAAAAACTAAAATTAAGAGGAAAAGGTATTTTTATTAGACAATTGCTTTAAGTAATAAAATATTTAATACATTTTACTCACAGGCAGCGTTTAGAAAAAGCAAAATTAGAAATAGTTGGAGTTTCATCATCAGATGAGGAAACTTTATCCAAACCCAGGAGGCCCATGAAAAGACCAAAAAGTAGCAAAAATTTATCAGCAAAAGGCAAAGAACAAAGTCAAAGTTTTAAGCACAAAAAAATCCAGAAGAAAAATACCGACGATCAAACTAAGCACCAAAATAATAATGGTTGTGTCAGTAAATAGATTTTAAGTCTTGTGATGTTACTATTAACTTCCCTATTTTGTTATAAAGAGACATAGAATAATCATGATTACAATTATAATTGTATTGCTGTAAGCAAGTTTATAATAAAATTTTAGAGTGTTGAGATATGTGATTCTTAATAAAAAAAAAACAATAAATTTAAATAAGATAATAAGATAATTTAAATAAATAAGATCTTAATCTCTTTTATATAAGTAATTGATATACTGTACTAATCTGTATACAATATGCATTAGAAGCCTCGAGCTTTTCAACTTCGTTGTTATTCATATTAAAACTCTGCAAAAATTATGCAATGGGCACTGGGGAAAGTAAACAAACGTATCACTTGCACTCAGGAGTTCAATGTGAACAACTTTGCCCAAATCTGGAATTTGATTTATTTACTTTTTTCCATTTTTCTATTATTTTCTAAGGAGAAGTTTGTTTTCGCGAAAAAATCCGATTTACTAATGTTATGTTTTCCCGACGTTCCAAGTCATTCTGAATCGATTGAGACTAAGTTTGGAAAACGTATGTGTGTGTATGTGAGCCGATTTTTAACCTTTCGTCGACATTTTCACGAAAATGGCTGGGCGATAAAAACTTAGCGTTGGTCAGTTTTGAGCGACGGCCAAGCCGTTTCTTTGTAATTAGCAAAAAGGCAAAATATTTCGTCTATGTTCATCAATCAATATTGTTTTTTTTTTTAAAAAAAAGGATTTGATCCACCAAGAGAACAGTCGCATATCAATCAATTTAGTGCGGTATTAAGTAAAGTACGTAATTGCGACAAGCGTGACCAAAATATATAGATGCAAATTAATATAGACCAAGAAATAATGCTTAAAGAATAAAAAAATAGAAAAAAAAGAAGTGTAAGCGAAGGCAATAAATAAAAAAGGGATATTATTCGATTCAATTGTCATTTAATTTAAAAAATATTAGGTAATTAACTACTATTTAATTGAACGATTCAACATAACGAAATTTGGAATGCGAAGCTTGCTATCTATTATTAAAGACATGTTACTTGTCTAATAAAAAAGCCTTTTAAACTTTCCTTCGCAAAATAATTAAATTTTCTTCCATTAATGTACGCGTATAATTTGACGGTCAGATACGTTCCATAAAAGATAAAGTCAATCACTTAAGTGAAAGCTGTGATTGTGATAACGCTGACTTCGTAAATAAGCCAGTAATGTAAAGGCATAATGCCTTAAGGAAAATTGCTGGCACTTTTCGTACCTAAAATTTAAGTCAAAAAAAAACTTTAAAATTTTTTGAAAAAAAAAAAAAGATTTTTGAAAAATGTTGAAAAGATTTGACGTTTTTGAAAAAAATGATTTTTATTATTTTGAAATTGTTTGAACATTTTGAACATTTCGAACTTTTTTTTGAATATTATACTTGTTTATCTATGGCAATCGCGCTGCGTAGCCGTTTCAGAGATGAAACGGATAAAACGCATATGACTAGTGATCATTCTTTGCCGCCAAATTGAGTTCATTTTTACATTTTTCATTGGTTTTCCGAAATTTCCAGACTTGCCTTCCCAAAAATGTTTTTTGAATCATTCAAATCGGACTCTCCGTACTTTCAAAAACTGAATTACCATTTTTTAACCTTTTTGCCCCGTCTAATAGGAATCGAATAATTTTTGAATTATTCATATCGGTTGATCAGTGTTCCTAAAATCGTCGACGAAAATTTGTATCCGCACACACATACTATCATTTTTTCTAGGGTATGCTAACACGTTTAGAATTATCTCTAAATCGTGAAGATATATAAAAAATTTTAATTTCGATTTTTTTGCGATTACTATTACTATAAATTACCTCATGGAAAATTAAAATGCGGTTTGTTAAATTCTAGATGTCGACACGCAATAAGTTATTCATGGGTTATTCATCTTTCTGCGGTGATCGTTTTGCTTGCCCACTACCTATTGCACGAATCCGTTCGGCGAGTCTGTTCGCAATGTCCGCATACTAAATTATTGCAAACGAAAGCAAATCATGCGCACAGGATTCGCCGTGCGCGTACGCGAGATGGGGATGCACCATAACATTTTATATTCGCACAGTTTACGGTCATTTCTTGTACATAGAAGAAACTCATTTATCGCTTACTCAACGCTTATTAACTTCCCGTAGGGCAAGTTATAGTAATCGCAAAAAAATCAAAAATGAAATTTTTTATATATCTTTACGTTTCAGAAGTTTCTGAACATTTTGGCATACCTTAGGAAAAATGGATGTATGTGTGTGTGTGTGTGTATGTATGTATGTATGTATGTATGTATGTACGTGTGTGTATGTATGTGCGGATACAAATTTTCGTCGACGATTTCGGGAACACGGATCAACCGATTTGAATAATTCAAAAAAAATTCGATTCGTATTGATAAGGAGACGTGCTGATTAGTTTTTGGCGAAGGCAGGTCTAGCCGTTCCGAAGATACGAGGCAAAAAGTGCCGAAAACGGTAACTTAGTTTTTTAAGAGAACGGAGCGTCCGATTTGAATAATTCAAAAAACATTTTACTTGTATTGACAAGATGAAGAATCGATAAAATTTTCATGAAGATAGGTCTAGCCGTTTCGGAGATATGGAGGAAAAAGTAAAAAAATGAGTCATTTGGCGGTCAAAAATGATCATTAGACATATGCACATCGAATTAACAGATATTTTATAGAGATTTTTGCAATAAGTATACATTTTGTTAACATTCCTATGGGTTCCGTACCAATGCTTAAGCGTTAGACAGCGACGCGGCGCTTACGCGCTTTATATTTCGTCCCTATGCAGTTAAAGCAGTACGATTGCTTTGAAAAAAAAGTTCAGATCATCCAAAATATGTCAAAATAAAGAAAAAAATATTTTTTTTCAAAAAAAAAATTAAAAAAAAATATATTTTTTTTTATTTAATTTTTTTTTAAAAAGAAGTAATTTTTTGTCCAATTTATAGTTTCTCAAAAATCTTATTTTTTCAAAGTAAATTTTTTTCAAAAACGTTAATCGTTTTTAAAAAAATAATAATTTTTGGTACGGGAAGTTCCAGCAATTTGCCTTAAGACACGATGCCTTAATTGCCTTAAGACAGAATTCCACTTACAGCTAGTTTATCTTTATGAAACAACCATGAACAAACAAACCACATATTTCACACCACAATCCACAAGTTTCTCCGTTTCGCCGTTCCTCCGCTAAGAAGCTATCGTTTGCATTTGCATGTTGCATGTCGATGTCGCATCTTTTTCTATTGTGTTACGACACAGTGTGTGACTGTGGAGTGAAATGCGTCGTTTATTTGATGGGCTAATTTATGTATTTTCAGTTAAAAAGAAAATGAAACTCAGTAATTGTGCAATTTTTCAATATTCAGTTGCGGCAATCTGTTGATATCTCCTAACAACGCTAATTTTAAAATAAATTTCTGCACTTTGTTTTGTCATTGATTTTTGATGCATGAGGTTATGTTGGGATCAAATTTAAGCTGCTTGTTTAAGAAAATGATTGGAGAATTATTTCTTGACGATATGAATGGATATGAAATGAAAATTATGTTTATACTAGAAGTACTTGACAAAAGTGCTTAAGCGGTTATGACAATTAAGAAGTCATTTTTTATTGATTTGTCCAAAGAAGGAACGAGTTATAGTTTAAGAAATATTAGTACAGGTCAATATTCTGAACGTCAACAATTGTATAGTATTTTATATATGAATAAGCCTTTTCCCATTTTAGTAGTTAGTAGGCAGTGCATGCTCAGGGGAAAAAATAAGGCCTTTTAATAATGAAGATACAAGTTTAGTTTTAGGTTTTGCATATTTTTAGCACCTATTTTCATCAATCATTTTTTATAACTTTAGATGCAGTTTTTCTTCAAAACAATAAATTTGTTTTTTTTGATCAATTAAGCATTTATCATCATTTTGGTCCTATAACATTTTATTTGCTTTAAAATAGAATTTTCAAAACAAAAATATGAATTAATTTATTTTTACAGTTAGGGTTTTGAGCAATCCTTTTGGTGTATTAAAATGGCGTTCCACTGGGTTGAAAACGTTAATACAGCATCCTTTACGCCTAGAGAATACCAAGTTGAGTTAATAGATGCTGCCAGAGACCGTAACATTATTATGTGTCTTGCTCAAAACTCTGCTCGTGATTTTATAGCTTTAAAGATAATACAAGAACATGCGAATGAACTGAGAAGGTAGGTGCTACAGAAAGTATTTTGGCAGTAACATGTAATTCCCATCAAACAGGTGATGGAATTGCCTTCATAGGCTTAATAAGAACTTACTCAATATATATGGAAGTATTTAAGTACATTTAGTAAATATTAAAAAATCTTATTTATTATACATTTGTAAATTGTGGTTGATAAATTTGTAACGATTAATTACAGTGATGTATTACATATGAGGAAAAAGAGCGTATATTTGGTAGATGAAGTAAGAGTGGAATCAGTAGCTACTATGCTGAAATATCTTACTGATTTAGATGTTGGTCTAGTAAAAAATCCATCTGACTTGGATCATCTTGAAGAAACAGTTCAGGTATGTATTTCTATTAATTTTTAATGTCACTTTTATATAATGAGAACATTTTTTAACTTTACAAAGGAGAAGTTTATGTTTTCATAAAAAAATCCGATTCGTTAATTTTATGTTTTCTCGACGGTTCAAGCCATTCTGAATTGAATGAGACCAAATTTGAAAAAAGTATGTGTGTGAACAGATTTTTTGCCATAAATCGACGTTTTTTCAAAAACGGCTGGACCAATTTCAAAAATTCAAAAGTCATTCGATGTATCTTGATGAGGACTAGCTTTTCTCAGTTTTGTGCGACGATCGGCCGAGCCGTTTCTTTGTAAATAGCAGAACAGTGAAAAAATTTTCGTTCACGTTTTAGCCCGCAATTCAGAATCGGTTTTGAAAATTCAAAAACTGTTCGAAAGATATTGGTTGGGAATTGTGCTGATTAGTTTTTGGTAAAGTTCGGCCGGGCTGTTTTCTTGTATAAAGTATTAAAAAACTTTTTTTTGACGATTTTTTTTTGACGGTAGATTCCATAGTCTTATAGATCATACTAAAATATTACGGCCTTACGACAAGTCGTTTTGACTTTAAAAATCCTTCAAAGTTTGCAAAAATTAGTGTCGTTTTTTCGGCATTTGTCAAAATTAGACATTTCATCGACGTTTGCTCATAAACGCTTCAATCGATTTCAGAAATTTAAAAGCTATTTGATGTATCTCGGTGAGGACCATCGTTTGTCAGTTTTGTGCGACGATCTGCTGAGCCGTTTCTTTGTAATTTGGAAAAAAGTGTTAAACTTTGTCCACATTTAAGTTCATACTACTGAATCCATTTAAAAAAATCGAAAACTGTTCGAAAGATATTAGCTGGGAATGATACTAATTAGTTTTAGGTGAATATCTACGGATCCGTTTTCTTGTAATTAATAGTTGAAAAACAAATTTAAGCCGCTTTCTTTTAAGAAACTTTTGTATAATGATATATATAATGGTCTTATAGAACTTATTGAAATATTAAGGCCTTAAACAACAAGTAGTTTAATTTCAACAATTCATCAAAGCTTGAAAAGTATTTATATGTGTATGTTTACCATCCCGGTAAAATAAGTTTTACAATTACTTTCGTTTGTGTGTACATATATGTATATGTACATATATGTGCATGTATACATATATTCTATTCTCTTTCTTTGCATAATTTTTCCATATATTTTTCCATATTTTATAAGATCTTCTATGCTAATTCTTCTATTACATTATTTTCATTGAAAATATTTTGCTTATTGATTACAGCTTAAATCCACAATCTATATTTTCCATATCGAAAATATTTTGCTTATTGATTACAGATTAAATCCACATGCGATATTTTCCATGTCCCTACTTCGTAATTTTTCCGCCGGCCAAAGCGCCTCTAATATTTCTCTATCTCGGTCTTTCAACCAATGGCGAAACAGCTCTTTGAGTTTTCTCATCTATACATACAAAAACAAATCACTCATTAAAAGTTTTTCAAGCATTTAACATGTGTCGGTGAGAAGAGTCCTTTTTTAAAAACTTTTTCATTTATTTTTTTTTATATTTTTTATATTATTTTATTTTTATACAATTTTTACAATAAATTCTTAATAATTTATAGAATAAAAAATTATTGTGAAAGACAGATAAAATTGATTAAGTATATTATTTACACATTTTGGGAATTTCATGCAACTTGCCTTGAGGCTAAATGCACTTTCAACTAGTTTAGTTTTTTTATATGTATAGTACATGGATTGATAGTTACTGAACATTTTATATAGAAACAATTTATTTCTTTATAATTATATAACAAAGTGCAAATGTGATTTTCCAAACAAAAACTGTAAACTAACTAACATTTATTTATATTTTCAGGTTTTAGTAACTACACCATCTAATTATGCAAATGCTTTAATATGTAGTTATATAGATTTTCGTTCTGTAAATGTAATGATTGTGGAAAATTGCCATAATGTTGTTAAGGAAGACAATGAATTAAAGCAGGTAATAGACTAGAAGATTTATTCTTCTGTCTTGCACTTAATCATTATGTTAAATAAATGATAGAATTTGTTTTATTTTCCAGGTTATGGATTATATTCGAAGTGAATTTTCAAATTCTTTGAATACACGCATTGTGGCAATGACTGGGCCATTGTATTCATGCAAATGCTTTGGAGGATTTCTTTCTGCCACTGTACAGAATATTGAAAAACTTATGTTGTGTGAAGTAGAGACTGCTAGTGATATTGTTTCTTCCTTGAGGTTTGTTAGGAATATGATAGTGTTTTTTTTATGTAATAAAACTTTAATTGACAAAGTTAAGATATTTATTGTTGCTTTCTTTGATATTGCAATAAGAAGCTTTCACTTTCAATTTGCAGGTACAGCACTCAGCCAGCACAACTATTAATAGAATGCCATGAACCTATCAGCCATGAGTTAGATCTAGTGTTGAGGAAGCATGTGAATGATGTCAGAAGTTTTCTAGCAGATCATAGATTTGCACCATACGAAATCTATGATGAGGAATATATAGATGAATTGAATGCTATGTGTGATCCAAAAGAGGAACCAAATAGGATCCTGGACGAATTTATTACAACATTAGATGAGTTTGGTGAGTTCATTAGGTATTTGCTATATTGTCATCCAAATTATAATGAATTTTAATATGGATAAAAGCTTTCTATGATTTGATTTGGACAGAGTTCAGACTTTTTTGGATATAGCATTCATTTTTTTCTGTTCTCATTTGAAATTTTGATCTTTCTCGATTGTCCGTTAGACAAGATGTTTGAGTATAAGAATAAGTAAAATTTATTTACATTTTATATAAAACTCTAAATTACTTTATGCTTTTTATTAAACTTAAAATTAGTTGTTGATTATTTCAGGTGTATGGTGTGCTGATAAAGCTGCATATAACTATTTAGTTTATTTACAAAAGCAAAAGTTGAAAACACCTTATGAACGTCACTACTTGCTTTTGTCGCTGGTTGAAACTTTACTAGTAAAAATCCGTTGTATATGTGACTATGAGCTATCTAAATACAATGAAATTGACAGAATAATAAAATATTCCACACCAAAAGTTTTGCGGTTAATGTCTGTTATTAGATCATTCAAATCGGAAACAAGTTCGTCTTGCTTAGAAACCAATATTCAGGCATTAAATGAGTGTAATTTTAAATCACTAAGTGATCAAATAGTGAAAAAGTGTGAAGAATTATCGAGCGATAATAATGAAGTAGAGAAATTAATAAATAATTTTAAGGATATGATCAACGTTAGTGATGACCTTCAAGATAAAGTTACCAATATTGAAGAATTTGATTGTTCAAAAGACTCTGGTCAAGGCTCTAGTTTGAGTAGTAATTTAGCAATTGATAGAAGCTCAAGCAATACCATTAATAACTCCCCCAAATTTAATAAGCAGAACAAGTAATTATTTTTGAAAATCATTGTACATCACTAGTCACAAAAGTCACATATTTTTTTTGTTTAAGACCAGATCAACATTTGCGTAAACAGCGAACGAGTAAACGAAATTCAAATGTAGGTCACAGAGGCCCAAGGTCTAATTATTACCAATTGGATCCAGATGCCTTGTGCGGTATAATAATAGTTGAAAGTAAATGCATGGCAAAAATTTTATTCGCCTTGTTATGTGTGAGTATAATTAATTTTGAAGGAATTATATACATCTAATATTTTTGTTTGATTTGATTTATTACTTCTCAGGAACTAACTCGACATCATCCAGATTATGAGTTTCTAAATGTTCAGTTCACAGCTGAAAAATCAGCGGATCCAATTTTAGATCCGAAAGATGCTGATGCTGAAAGCAGAGTGCAAGAAGACGTTCTAAGAAGGTACGTAAATTTTGAATTTTTACAGAAGCTTTATTAATTTATGAACAAATATTATTATAACATCAGTGATGTTCGGTTCACTGACATAAGTCCATTGACATAATAATTAGCATATTAAGTAATTGTGGTTGTGTGTCTTAAATTTGTATCATCAATTATACTTGTTAACAAATTTATGGATGAAATGGTTCAGTTTTTGCTTTTCAAGTTTTTTGCGTAAATAGTTTTAATTCACTAAATCTATTTTTGCTGTTTTGGATTCTATTGACAATGTAAATATATTGACATTATCTCTTTTTTTTTTTGAATATATTAGTATTTTGTGATTATTTCTCAGTTTTTTTCATATTTCAGATTTAGAATGCACGAATGTAATTTGTTAATAGGCACTGCCATGTTAGAACACGGCATAGATATGCCACGCTGCAACTTGGTTCTTCATTGGAATGTGCCAAATTCTTTCAGTAGTTTTGCTCATAGCAAAGGCCGAGCAAGAGCGTCTAGTGCTTTGCATGCATTTTTGGTTACAAGTTCTTCCACAGATTCAGCTGTTTGTAAACTTGCAGAATACTGTGAAGTTGAACAAGTACGTATTAACTCTATATGTATTATTACATATATTTTTATTACATATGAGATGTATTCTGTACAATAATGTTTTGGTAATATTTATTTAAATAACAAAGTTTAAATTAAAAATATCCCAATTAAAGTTTATTTAATGTGTTTGATGTATGGCATAGATGTTATCAAAACAACACTCAATGTATTTCACAAAAAACATCTTTATGAATATGTCAGGACTGAAATTGTAGCTTATTTATTATTCAAATGTGAATAAAATAATAAAGAATTTAGGCATCATATAATTGTACAGCTAATTAATTATTAATGAAATTGACCACTGTTAAATTTTGAAAGTAATAAATCTATGCATTCATTTTAGATGCTTTCTTTCCAAATGTAACAATATGGAACCTTCTGAATGTGATGAGAAATATGCAGACAGATTTACAAATTGTATAAAATCTTATCAGCCTTCATGTGATGAAAATAGTGCTAGTGTTAATTTATTGTCATCTATTGCATTGGTTAATAGGTAAGTTGCTTTGACTTCCATAAATCTTTATTATTTATTTTCTAGTACTTCAAGAATATACTTTGTTTTATCTTTTTTCTAGATATTGTGCCAAGCTGCCAAGTGACACATTTACGCGTTTAGCTCCTTTGTGGAAATTATATGAATTAAATAGAAATGGCAGAATCTTGTTTCAGTGTGTTGTGAGATTACCAATTAACTCGCCCATCAAGAAGGATATTATAGTAAGTTAAATATTTAGATTTAATTAGAAATATTTTTGCAAAATAGCATTTCATGCATTAACTTTGATACATATACGTTGTACAAAAGCAGCAGATGTATGGCTTTGTTAGAACCTATATATATCGATGGTATTATAAGTAACTAAATATAAAAATTGTAGACATAAACACACTACTGTTTTTTTGCACTAACTTTATCAAATTATTTCAAAACTATAAATGTTTGCACAACATACTTCTTATTTAAATTTATCATGAAAACATCTAACATTAATTTCTTTTAAAATCATTTAAATACAAGTTTTCTCATTCAATTTTATAAACCAAACATGGACTAAAATTATATTTTTATTCGAATGTAATAACACAAAACTTCAATTTACAACTGTAAGACAAACTGCAGTCTGGAAAATTGCAGTTTAAGATATTTAATACATCAAATAGTGATAATGTAGCTTGATTTAAACTAGATGTCTTTTTTAGGGCTGTCCGGTACCATCAAAAATATTAGCACGTCGTATAGCAGCTTTTCAAACATGTGTTGAATTGCATAAAGGTGGTGAATTAGATGATAATCTTCAACCCTTGGGTAAAGAATGTTTAAAGGTGCAAGAAGAACTACATCTGCTTGATTTTTTTGATGAAGATGCTTGCAATACTGATACTTTGGAACCAAGACCTGGCACCACTAAAAGAAGACAGTATTACTTTAAAAAAGTATTAATTCTTTTATGTTAAAATATAGCAGACTGCAAAATCAGAATATTTCTGAATATTTTCAAATTTAATCCATGGTTATTATTTATTTCAATTTTTCTCAGATTGCTGACGCTTTATGTGAATGTAAACCTATCGAAGGAGAACCTTGTCATTTTTATGAAATCCATATGCATTTAACTTGCCCTTTACCTGATGAGCACAACACTCGAGGTCGTCAGATTTATGATCCTGAAGATTCTCCAAATGGTTTTGGAATCCTAACTAGAAAGTTCATGCCTAAGGTACATATTAGTAAATTTATAATTATGAGTAAGTTTATTACTCAATACCAATTTTTTATGAAGTATGCGAATGAAATAAATGCATTATGTATAAATCAATTGAATTTGTCTAATTTTTAGATTGGTAGCTTTCCTATCTTTACCAGATCAGGTGAAGTGAGTGTCTCAATAAATTTGATCCAATCTTCAATTATCATAACAAAGAAAAGAATGGAGATGATTTACAAATTTATTAATTACACCTTTACAAAAGTGCTGAAATTACAAAAATTATTTATGATTTTTGACCCTGATATTTCTAACCACTCTTATTTTATAGTGCCTACTCTTAAAGGTAATTCAAACTGCCTAAATAATTAATTAGATTAGTTTATTATATATTGGTTGTGAAATGACATATTTTCTTTCTAGTTGATCAAACAATCCAAGTAGACTGGAATTTTTTAGAAGTTATTCATGCAGAAGAGTATTCCAAGCAAATACTTGCACATAATTGTGCGGACACTACAGTGACACCTACTGAACCAAAAAACGAATATATATTCGATCCTGAGAAGTTTCGAGATGCAGTTGTGATGCCATGGTACAGGAATCAGGATACGCCTCAAGTGTGTAATTTAACAATATTGACTTTTGACTGTTTGGGAAGTTTTTTTTTTAACAATATTGAAAAGATTTATTAAAAATTTATTTTATTTATTCAAATACGTGCAACATATTGTAAAAATGTTGCTATCAATGTTTATATCAAATTCAAATAAATCAAAATTATTTTTAGTATTTTTATGTTGCTGAGATTTGCAAAGATCTAAATCCTTTATCACCATTTCCTGGATCAAATTTTAAATGCTTTGAGCATTATTACCGGTCAAAATATAATATAAAAGTTGGAAATCTTTCACAGCCTCTCTTAGATGTAGATCACACTTCAGGAAGATTAAATTTCTTAACACCCAGGCAAGTGGTTTAAAATATGTTTGTAATGCAATAAATCATCATCAATTGTTTATTGTATAATCCATAAATATTAATTTTGTTTTACAAATATTTATTGGTTGTAGTTAACCAGATTTAATGTTTAATATTTTATAATTGCATTCATTTTATATTTATAATTAACTCAATCTATTTTAAAATTTAAAAAAAAAAACAGGTATGTTAATCGTAAAGGAATTGCATTGCCAACTAGCTCTGAGGAGACAAAGCGAGCAAAACGTGAAGACCTCAGTAATAAACAAATTTTGATACCTGAACTATGTACAGTTCATGCCTTTCCGGGTGCTTTGTGGCGGGCCGCAGTTTGTTTACCATGTACACTATATCGTGTCAATGGTCTTTTGGTTGCTGACCAAATTAGAGCTGAGGTAGCAAAGGACATAGGCCTGGGCACTAAACAATTAGCAGAAAGTAAGCAAGATTCAATATATTCTCGCATGTTTCTTTATATTATTACTATAAATGTGAATTTAATTTCTGAACTTTATTATCAGGTTCAGAGTGGCCAAAATTAGATTTTGGCTGGAGTCTAGCTGAAGTATATAGCAAATCAAAAAACAAAATTAACAATCCGATTGTGGAATCAGTGAAAGTAGATCCTATAGAAATAGTGGATGCATTAAACTCAAAGTCAATAGAACTGCTTAATGAAAAATCTGAAGAAGTTGCACTGATCAATGATAATCCTGATGAGGTAGTTAAATTTTGCTATTTAAAATTATTTACATCTTGTTTTTCTTTTTAGTATTAAGGAAATTACATTGGTCATTTTATATTTGTTTTTATTTTGTGGTTTTTATTTCTTATTTATAAAAAATTATTAAAGCTCATCATTTATTATTCTTACTCTTTGTTGCAAGAAATTCCAAGGTCAAGGTCTTTTAAAAATTTGTTATTTTATTGTTTTTTGAACATTTTTTATTTGTTAATTGCAGAATCAACTAGAAATTGGCCTATGGTCTAATGATATGGCACCACTGGATAATGAGACAAATTATAATGCAGTCGAAGGTGTAAGATTTAGTTCACCTACACAGTGGAATTCAAATAGCAATCGTGATCCTTCAGAAATATATAGTGATAGTGATTGTGATGGTTCCTTTGACAATTATTCTGATGATGATGATGATGAATGTGATGGATCTGCAGCTGATACAGGTGATTCAAAGAAAAAAGTTTTGTAATTGAACAACTTAAAATGCCTACTTGATTACTAAATGTTTACTATCTTATTGGCAATCAAAATTGTTAAAAATTGCTTTAGGTCGACTACACATTGAATTTCAAAGTGACAATCTTGCTGAGGCGATTGATAATGATTCTCACAATCGAAATCTTCCATTATTTATGTCCCAGAACAATGATAATGTGGAATTAGATTGGAAAATTTCTGATATTGATCCTGTTTTAAAAACAGAGTTTGTACAGCAATATAATGTGAGTATTTTATTAATTTTATCATACATAATTATTTGATTACACAGTGTATACAATTTTAATCTCTCGCACCATGATTACTGCAAACAGGTAAGGGCAGTATACCGTTTGCAATTTATGAAAAAGAAATTTTCTTCACTTTCAACTCAAGCAAATTTTTATATTTTTTTATTTCTTACACATATTTTATGCGGGGTTTATTTCAATCATCTTTAAATAAAAGCTCAAATCATTGTTACCTTATACTTGCAAGGAAAAGCTACTTTAAAGATTTTTCATTGCAAGTATAAATCAATGATGATATGAAATTTTATAACTTAATTATTCAGTTCTGATTCTTGATTAACTTGGAATGTTAGTTCAAATAATGAATAACAATAGAATTACAGCAATATAAAAGAATGAATTTAAATGTACACAGAGCAAAATATCATCATAGCGCGAAAATATATACATATATTTTTTTTATAAAATATAGTGTATTTATTATGTTTAACTCTCGCTAATAACTATATTAACATCCAAAAATAATTAGTAAATACTGTGACATAATTAAAATTTATTTTTAAATATGGCATGACATGTGCAATCACAGCAGTACATTCTTTCTTTCATATATTATTATCAATGCTTTGGAAATAGTAACATAAAATTCATTATCACTGTGACTTTATAATTGCAACGGAAGGCTATAATTACGATCTTTCATTGCAATTATAATGTGGTAATGTAATACATGATCTGCATTGCTATGATTAATAGTTCTTTTTTATAACGATTTAAGTAGCACTGGGCAAACACAAAATTCAAGTTTTATTTATTTAAATAATTAGAGCTTATGTGAAACTCCATTAAAATTAATTTTATTTTTGGCATTAAAAAACCATTTGAGAGCTTTCAAGAGAGTGTTGGGAATTTTACAGTTCTTTTCTTGTGAAATTTAGTGGATATGTGAAAATATGTTAAAATGACTGCTTTGTATATGCAAAGTTAGGCTGTTTTTAAGACCCAATTTTGCATTTATGAGGCCGTTATTTTAATAGTCTTCTTCATAAGGGAATATGTAATAATTTGATGTGGCAAGTTATGACTTCAACATGAATAGTTACAAAGTTGGAGTTTGAAGCATAATAATTATGAAATGAAAGTGCGTGTAACAATAATTTTAATGTGAATAGACATGTATATGAATGTCTGTATATATATGTACATACATAATAAATAATTATGTGTATAAAACAAACTTGACAAATTTACCAACAAAACTGTTCCTAATTGCTTAATAATCTACAAATTTATACTATTTCAATATTATTTTGAAAAAGCAGAAAAAACTTACTTTATTATTGTGTTTGTACCGTTGAATAATTTGTTAAGGTAATTTGTATATAATGGATATATTTCATTACCATTCACAAGGTTTTTGTTTTGTATATATAGACTGTCTTGTCTTCTTTAGCCTTAGTTGATCAAATTATATTTGTGTTTTTTTAATTAAAGTTTTCTAATTCTTCTCATGAAAGTTCTTAATTAAACAATGGCATTTTTATTAACAAAAAAATAGTAGCAAATGATTAAAAATCAAACGTTTCATAAATGAAATTGAAAATGTTTAAAATGAAATCTCTTTCCGGAGCCCTTTTGTATTGCTATATTGTATCTTCATAGTTTGATATATTTAATTAACTTCAATAAATCTATTCAACTATGTTTTTACAGGACAGAATTAAAAAAATAAGAGAAAATATTATCAACAATGGCTCTTTGATTAGAAGTGAAGTCGAAGTTCCAACAAGAAAAATGTTGTTAAAGAACCAAGTACCAAAGTTTAGTGAATCAAATTCGCATTTTATGCATGAACTGATTTATTGTCAATCTTCTACAAATCTGGGAAATCAAATCTCTATTGAAGAATTAATTGAATTGAATGAGATTTATGTGAAAGAACATGGTGAGGATTCTAAGAGGCTCATAAATAATGCAGATCATTATGAAGGGATTGATATGGATAAAGTGTTCTCAAATTTGGATAAGAATAAAAACAAAAAAGTAATCAAACCCCATGAAACTGATTTTAAATTCAGTTTTGATTATCAACCGGATCTTGAAAAACACCCAGGACCCAGCCCAAGTTTAATTTTGCAAGCATTAACAATGTCAAATGCTAATGATGGTATTAATTTAGAAAGATTAGAGACCATAGGTGATTCCTTTCTAAAGTATGCTATAACAACTTACTTATATTGCACATATGACAACATACACGAAGGAAAACTTAGCCATTTACGATCTCTACAGGTAAAAATTAATTTCTATAAGATAATGCAATTTATTCAAAGGTAAACCAATAATATAAAAGGTTTTCATATAAACATCTACAGCCCTTGAAATATATTAGCTTGAATGCATATTTTTAGCTTGATTATGTACAATTTCAGTTTGTTTGCAGCAAAAATATTGTCCAAACACTTTTTTTTATTTTAAAAAATCAGTTGAATCTTAATTAAGCTTAAACCAAGTAAGGTTTTATTTACATATCTTGCAATTTTATTATTATGGTATCTACAAAAGAAAACATTTGGTATTTGTGTTAAAACATGAGTATTTAAAAGTGTATCTGACATAGTGTCTGGGCAAGTTTGAAAAAGGGCTTATGGTTATTACATAGTACTTAAGTGATGCTTCTTACAACTTGTTTCTATTTTTCTATTTGGACTGAAATAAATTGCAAACTGTACTTTTAGTGTCGAGATTTCTAGCACATGACATATCAAATAAAAAATAGAATAAAATTATTTTGCATTTATTTTCTAATTATTAAGAAAACATTTGATTTCCAGATTGATTTAATTTTAATTTTCAATTTGGAAATTAGATGTATTTAATTTTATAAAATTTTCTTGTAATATTGCAGGTTAGCAACTTACACTTGTACAGATTAGGATATAAAAAAAATTTAGGAGAAAGTATGATAGCCACAAAGTTCGAACCACATGATAACTGGTTGCCTCCATGCTTTCATGTACCAAAGGATTTGGAAGATGTTTTAACGGAAGCAAACGTATGGAATATATTTAATGTTTTATTATACATATGTCTTACAGATATAAACTATATTAATGCTTTAATTGAATTTTAAAAAATACAGTTTTTTCACTTTCTTTGTCATTTTTACAAAATTTTGTCTTTGTATGATAATTGTTACACAATTTTTTTTCATAATTTGATAGTATCTAAAAACCTATGTTTTAATTTGTGCTTTACACAGTATTAATTCATCTTGTAAAAAAAATTATTTAAAAATTGACAGCCCTATTTAGCATGAAATGAACATAAACAAATCTTGTTCGTATATGTAATATTATAATACTAACTATTCTTGTAACTATTTTAAAAATTATTGTAACTATTGCAAACAGATTAAATTTAAATATTTTTGACAGATTCCTGCATCATTATGGGATATGGTAAATGTACCTTTAAGTCTTTCTTTGCCTAAAGATGAATTGGTGAAACAGGTTCGAAGGCGCGCTATAGAATTAGGATTGCTAGTGGAAAGTACTGATGAAATGAATGAAGGTTCCGAGTTAAAACGTGTTTTAACAGAATCAGATTGTGGGCCTAGTGGTATGATTCCCTACAATCTGATAACTCAACATAGTATACCTGGTAAATATCTTGATTTTAGTAAATAATATATGCATAAGATTCAATGATAACAAATAACAGTATATTTGAAATTTCGAATAAAACCATATTTATTTATTTATTTTCACTGTAATGAAAATATATACTGCTGGAAATTGAATAGGTTCTAGATAACAAGTGTATAAGTTTGAGTTTTATACATTTATACATACATGAATGGGATGTAATTAATGTTTTTATTTTCATTAAATAATTTCAGATAAATCAATAGCAGATTGTGTTGAGGCACTTATTGGTGCATATCTCATTGAATGTGGGCCACGTGGTGCACTGTTGTTTATGTCTTGGCTTGGTATTAAAGTTCTTCCTTTATATGAAAAACCTTGCACGGAACAAGAAGCGAAACAAGTTATTAATGAGAATATTGACAGGAATGCCGGATATTTAAAACCAGTTTGCAGAAATGGGCAATGGATACAGGTTTCAAAGAAAACAATATTTACAATAACGTTAAGCTTGTTATAAATACGTACAAAAATTCTAATTGGCGTAAATGATTGACTTAATAGTTTTGAGATTTTACCATTGAATTTGATCTATTATGAATAAATATTTTGCATATAATTTAGTTTTATATTAATTTTGAGCATATTTATCATTGCTGCAAATTTTTAATGATGATATTGAAAATGTTTTGATATTTTTGGATACAAAGATCTGTATTTGTTACAGATATAACAAATATCTGTTATAAATGTTTTTGATATGAGAAAGCAAACTTTAAATTGTTTGTTTGATTTGATTTTATTTGATTGTATTTATTATTGTTTCAGCCGTTTTATGGTAACATTGTAATACCACCTTCACCTTTAGTTAAAAAAATAAAATATCCTGAGCAATGCCTTGAAAATCTTCTTATTGGCTATGATGTTTTGGAGGAACATCTGGGCTATAAGTTCAAAGATAGATCTTACTTGCTACAGGCGATGACCCATGCTTCGTATTCGCCTAATAGGCTTACTGATTGTTATCAACGTTTAGAATTTCTTGGTGATGCAGTTTTAGGTAACTAAGTAATATAGAAATATCATGAGGTCATTTGTTAGTTCATTAATGCTTTTGTTTGTTTTTTTGTGATTGATTTGCATTCAATATAAATTTTGCCCTAATATTCTGTGTAATAATGGATATAAGTAGATTATATTGGATTATTGTATTGTATTTTAGTATTATTACTGCTTAAGTTTGGCAATTAAAATATTGTTTAATGACTTAAAATTTTTAAATACCAATAGACATGTATATTATAAATAATTATACAGTAGAACCTCGATTATCCGGACTACTAACCGCGACCAATGTATATTTATGAACAGACCTACAATTCGAATTTTTACACGATTCATGCTGCAGTTTAGTATATGTATGTAATATAATCTAAGAAAATATATATGTACATACATAAGTAATTAATTAAAGAGTTAATTTCTTATTAAACATTGATTTTCATTGATATCTATGTATGTATTTGTTATTTTTGATAAATACACATCAATATTCATACTTTGGATTATCTGGATTTTCGATTATCAGGATGCCTATCGACAACAATTAGTCTGGTTAATCGAGGTTCTACTGTAATTAGTTATCTGTTATTGAACTTGATATATTCAATATTATTTTGCTATTACTTGCCACACTAACTGAACATATATAACTGTTTTCTGTCTTGAAAAATCTTTTTTATTATATATTAAGACATTGATCAATAGTTAGCATTTATAAATGTTTCAAAATTGCATGAAAGTTTTAATTTTTAAGTAATTCCATATTTATATTTTCCACAGATTATTTAATAACACGGCACTTATATGATGCTCCCCAAAAACACTCACCTGGGGCTTTAACTGATCTGCGCAGTGCTCTAGTCAACAATATTATATTTGCTTCTCTTGCGGTTCGGCATGGTTTTCATCGCTATTTTCTACATCGTTCACCAGGTTTACATGAGGTAATTGCTAGATTTGTTGCTGTACAAGAAGCCAGCGGTCATGCAATTACAGAAGAGGTACAAGAACAAATAACAATTAATGTGCCCATGTTATTTCTATTTTTTTGTTGTTAATGTTATTGGTTTCACTGTAGTATTATTTAATGGAAGAAGATGAATGCGAAGCAGTTGAAGATGTTGAAATACCAAAAGCACTTGGTGACTTATTTGAAAGTGTAGCCGGGGCCATATTTCTTGACTCCGGCATGAGTTTAGATGCTGTGTGGCGTGTTTACTATACTATGATGCAGAACGAACTAACACAATTTGGGAACAGTGTACCTAAAAGCCCTATTAGAGAATTGCTGGAGATGGAACCTGAAACTGCTAAGTTTGGGTTAGCAAACTTATGAATACAAATTTCATATAATATATTTAGATTTATTTACATGGTAATTGTTATAATTTGTCTTTTTTTGCTGTAGGAAACCAGAAAAATTAGCAGATGGTCGACGGGTAAGGGTTACTGTGGAAGTATTTGGTAAAGGAACATTCAAAGGAATAGGTAGAAATTATAGGATTGCAAAATGTACCGCTGCAAAATGTGCATTAAAAAAGCTAAAAGCACGAAATAAACAGACATGACTGTCAAAGAAATAAAAGGGAGACCTATACATTTTACCATGTGAATTTAAGACTGCCATGGTAAATTGTGTATTAATGCCAATTATTTAATTGTAAGTATATTGAAAGAAAAATAGCGAAATTTGGTTTAATATAAAACGGCTTGAGCGTTTGTTATAGTATAACTACTATATAAGTAAAGTATAAATTTTCAATGGCCAAAAAATTAAAATAATGTTTTGGAATACTATGAATTAACAAATGTAGAAAATGTTGCAAATATTATCAACTTGGATTCTTATATCAAAATTTTGGCAATATAATAATTTGATTCAATCCGATTGATCCATTATTTGGTTTTATATGAAGTTGTAGATATTGCTTATGAATAATACTATAGTGAGATATTTTACAAACATGTTACTTGTTAAAAATTGCAATTTTAAAGTTGGGTATATTTGAAATGTAATCTATATATACATATATATATATATATATTATATATATATATATATATATATATATAACAAAGTCTAATAATCGGGCATAACATCAATAAAAAACATGAATTTCTTTCAAAAATTTATTTTAAATCCATACGTTTCGGCTATAATCCTAGCCTTCATTCAGTGGAAACTAAAATTAAAATTAAAAACTAAAACAATTGAATTGGAGTGAAAAGAAAAAATAAAATAGTAATTAGTACTTACAATTAGTTGATCTTAGTGTTAAATTCGAAAATTTTAATAATCCATGGTATTAGGATATGGTAATGCACTACACTATGTATTATAAACATTAACTTGAAATTACACAATATTTTCACAAAATACTGATTTGAAAAAATCACAAATGGATAGTGTGTTATTCGTAGACTGGTTGAAGATGTAATGGAGAAAGACATTTTTTTAAAAAATATTTTTACCAAGATTCTGCACATGTGTGGAACGAATTGTAAAACCTTGTGTGAACGCTTTTATTGTTTTGTAAGAAATTTGGAAATGTTATCTAAATAGAAGAGATTTGTGTCGCACAGCGTGTTGAGTTCATTCCGTTTATTTATTGTCTTATTGTTATAAATAGTTAAAAAAGATCCCTCTATAATTCTTCGTTTAAATAAATTTTGTTCAAATTGTAGTACAGTCGGATTAGAAAAGTCCATATTGTGTTTTACTACTGTACTACAATTTGAACAAAATTTATTTAAACGAAGAATTATAGAGGGATCTTTTTTAACTATTTATAACAATAAGACAATAAATAAACGGAATGAACTCAACACGCTGTGCGACACAAATCTCTTCTATTTAGATAACATTTCCAAATTTCTTACAAAACAATAAAAGCGTTCGCACAAAGGTTTTACAATTCGTTCCACACATGTGCAGAATCTTGGTAAAAATATTTTTTAAAAAAATGTCTTTCTCCATTACATCTTCAACCAGTCTACGAATAACACACTATCCATTTGTGATTTTTTCAAATCAGTATTTTGTGAAAATATTGTGTAATTTCAAGTTAATGTTTATAATACATAGTGTAGTGCATTACCATATCCTAATACCATGGATTATTAAAATTTTCGAATTTAACACTAAGATCAACTAATTGTAAGTACTAATTACTATTTTATTTTTTCTTTTCACTCCAATTCAATTGTTTTAGTTTTTAATTTTAATTTTAGTTTCCACTGAATGAAGGCTAGGATTATAGCCGAAACGTATGGATTTAAAATAAATTTTTGAAAGAAATTCATGTTTTTTATTGATGTTATGCCCGATTATTAGACTTTGTTAATACATATGTCAACATCAAATTCAGAATCATACAATATATATATATATATATATATATATATATATATATATATATATGTATGTATGTATTACAAATTTTTATAATAAATGATGTTTAATTATTAAGACTGAAAAAATCATTAATATAGTAAATGTGTATTAGATGTATGGATGTATGTTTTTACATGGCTGCATTTTTATATATATATGAAAAAAAGTTTCGATATTCCATTATATGAACAGTGATATATGTATATTTTAATTTGAATAAAATTACAATAATTGTTTTTACATTTCTTTGAAAATACAATATATATATTTTTGAATATGATTTAATTATATACATAAATGTGTTTAATAATATAATTTAACCAAATATTGTGAAACAAATGAAAAAAAAAGGTAGATCGTAATTCTTAAATTTGTCAATATTGTTAACTGTTAATTAAAATTACTGCCTTGGGAACTTCATGATGGATATTTGTGAACATTTTATTTTTCTAACAGCATTTAGCAGTTATTTAACTTGCAAATTATTTTGGTTTTGCTCTCAGAATCTAAATTTTACTGGTTGTTCTCCTTTTGATCATGTTTTATAATGATCTCTTTGAATACCAGTAAACAACAGATTTTCTATTTTGATTTTTAGAATATTTTGCGATCAAATAGATGTAGACTTTGTAGTTGTAAAACTGAATAGATTACACTTAATACAGATTAAATGATTTATATGTTAGACCCGTCGTACTTTGAATTTAAAATGGTTTGCAATGTAGGTTTTTGGGCGAAATTCTTACATGCTGTATCAATTATATAGTTTAGTTATGGGTCCGTTTGAATTGGAATCAAATGTTCTGAATTATTGCATTAACTTGATTCGAATAAGATTTTACAATTAGCCAACCCTTATCTTTAAACTATAAAACAAGAACTTATTGTTAAATTTGCATTTATTATTTTTGATCGAATAGCTAATATGCTAATATCCATAAGTTATTCAGCTGAATGTCAAATACTTATGAAATGTATATTTTGTAATGGGGAGGTAATTGGTTAAATTATATATATATATATATATATATATATATATATTATATTTGTCATTTCATTTCTATAATTATTTATTCAGATATACATAACACAAATGTGTAATCATTTTCTATATTAGAGAAGTTATAATTTATCTTGGCATCTGAATTATTTTTATAATTAAAATTTAGAAGAAAAATGTTATGCTGCAAGAAGACTATTTTTTACATAGGAAGTATATTTTTTCTCTTATTGTATATACCACCCAAAATGCTTTATGCTGAATTCTACATGTTTGAGAATGAATTCTCTGTAAGTAAATATAATCAGCAGTCACGGAAATATAATATGATCCTCAAAGTAAACTTTTTTCAACCACTTTGCAGCATATTACAAATTAGATAGTAACGCGGCAAAGAGCTATCAATTTTGGCGCGTTAAAATCCGCTTGCAATATCAAGCTTTTTTATCTATGATTCGGTTTTTGGGTTTGCTGGATGAATATATAAATAATAATACTATTAATTGTGCAAGTATATTTATTATTTATAAATCAAATTCCTTGAAATCATTACCAAATTGCCAACTATGATTGTCGTGGGCCTTGTTCACCCGTTAGCTACCGGTATGTTTCAGTTCGTGTTTCGGATGCAGCCAACTTCATGTTGTCGTTCTTACAGTTTAATATCAGTAATGAAAGAGTTGTAGATTGAATAGTTAAGAAGTGTTTTACATATTACATAAAGATTTTATTGTTAGTTAAATTGTTCGTGTGTTTACAGGTCCAGCGGTTATAGACTCTCAATAAAAATAAATTTAAAAAATCTCATTTGGTGGTCAAAAATGTTTATTGGACATATGTACATTAAATTATCAGATATTTTATAGGGATTTTAATAATGTGTACACATTTTGTGTAATTTTTTTTTGGGTTCCGTACCAAGATTTTTAATTACAGTACGGAAAGTTCCAGTTTCTATAAATAAATAAATTTTAATTTATTTTTGATTATTTTATAAAGAATGGTGACGTTCAAAACAATTTCCAAAATGCATAGCTGGTTGATTTTGACATGTTTTACAATAAAATGTTGTTCGCCGCCCTCCTCCTACTTAGTGCTTTTTTGTCAGTACAGACAATTTGTTCTTTCTCTCGCATTTAGAATATATTATACTTATATGATTAGTCAGTATATTAGTCTTATTATACCACTTATATGATTAGTCAGTATATTTGTTCATTTTTTTGCTGCCATAATGTTTTTTTCTATTATATAATTCATTTGTAAAATATAAAGTTAAATAATCTATGGATGTCTTATATTGCTTGGTATTTGTAGTCGGGGTGTTTGTTGATGTATGTCAAATTCGGTTATTGAAGGAGAATCAGCACATTCGCTAATGTCTTTCTACACTTCATTTAATTTTTTGAACTCCTTCTTTTTGTTGGTTGGATAATATCATCATCACATTCATCACTATCTTCGGTACGAATAGATATTTCGTAAAATTTGTCTGTATGAATGTCTATTTGAAACTCATCTTCACTACTGCTTAATTCACAAAATTTACCAGTCGTTTTGCCATATTTAAAAGCGCTCGGTCGTTTTAAATATTAAAAAAAAATACTATATAGCAAAGAAAAAAGCTAAAAATACTACTAAATTAACTTAAAATTATTTTAAAAACACAACACTGATTATCACTGCTATATGTAATTTATTCAACTTTTTGATGCAAACTAAGTCATGGTAACATTGTTATAAGTGTAAAAATTTTCGTGTACGTCTTAGACCGCAATCTTGAATCGATTTTAAAAATTACAAACTATTTGAAAAATAAACATTTATCAAAGTTTGAAATTACTCTACACAATCGATTCCAATAAGAATATATTCTGAGAATGTATACGTATCGTGTTTCGTAGCTTCTACTGATTATAGTTGACATCCACACTTAAATAAAACAAATTTTGTAGGCAGCTACTGATTACTCAAATAAAATACATTTTTAACACACTAAATGTGTTAACCCAGCGGTTTCAACATGTGGGGTGCGCTCCCTCAGGGGGCGCCAGGGTGTTCTAAGGGGGACGCGTACATCTATTTCCAGAATACTATTTTTAAAAATAACCCAAACTTTATGAAATGAATTTAAAAAATAAACAAAAAATAATTTGTCTTTATGAATATTGTTACATAATATTGCATATTAATTTGTAGTCTGATAATATCAGTTGAGTATTTATAAAATTGAATCGTTGCAAAAATTAAGTGGGGCGCAACATTTTTTTTTATCAGAGCAGGGGGGCGCGTTGCAAAAAAGGTTGGAAGCCACTGTGTTAACCCATTCGAGACCGGTTGCACAGCGTGTGTGCAATAATAATAATGA